TTAACACTTTGAAAACTTCATAATGTTTATACTTTAAAATGAATGATCCTTTAAACAAGAATTTAATCAAAATATGTTTATTGAAATTTTATTTTATGCAAAAATATACAGAAGTATTAAATAAAATCATATTATAAAGTGATGATGGATGGCAAGAGACATGAAAATGACAAGAGTACTAAGTGTACAGTTACAAAAGTAATTTCCACGAAATAATTATTTTTAAAGAAGTCGTAAGACGAAAAACACAAGCCATGCTCAGATAAGAAAAGCATTTAAAGCAATAGATTTTTTGATAATTATACGTCCCGATTTGATGGTTCGCGTTTAAATTAATGCATACGATATTAATACACGCGACACCTTAAAGCTCCCGTGTGCAGAATTTTCAAATTTATCTTTAAGCTCTTAATCGGTGCTTAATCCAATTTAAAAAAAATAGCAACATAGCAATGGTATTTTAAGTCGTGTGAAAATACGTTGCAACGAAGGAGAAAAATGAGGGCTCCAAATAACTGTTGAATCGACAAGTCATCTAATCAACCTCGAATGATTATGCACGTTGACGGGATTCTTTTATCTATGTGCGAATAGCTTCGTGCGGATATTTAATATATGGTTGACTGCACTTTCTTCCCCGAATAAATCTCTACGCAGCATTTAGCATCGACGATTTGATTTTTCTAGTATTTTAATGTTACTGAGGCTGCTGACCATTGTTATTATTATTATTACCATTATTATTAATTTGCTTTAAGCAATTCAGATATTAATATTTGGTCTTCAATAGAGATTATAAAGAGGTACATCTAACATACTGTTGACAATTAATGGAACGTTGAATTATTTTTCTAATATAAAGTTGTTTAGAAATGGTCAAGTTCAATAATCAAAATTTTCAATGATATAGACATCTATATCTTGTTTCAAAAGTATACTTAATGTTCAGAATCGATAAGATTCGCGTTTGCAAAGATGCGACATTTTAATAACTAGAAAGGTAAATAGCATATTTATCGAAAGTCTATTTTATTATATTTACAAATAAGACAATATATTCAAACAACAAATATTCATATTAGACACAGATGATGTGAGCAACGTGATACCGACCGACGGTGCAGTGCAATATTAAAATATCAGCTTATGAACTATCAAAGCATAATAAAGCATTAAATAAATACTCACTTGTGGCTCAAAGGTGTGTTTACGACGTGCTTGGTGCGCAACTACGAAGGGACATGTCCTAATGATCCCCGTCGCCGTCGCCCCCGCATCGTTCAGAATCCTCTTCCGCTGTAAGTACAATTGTGCTGTGATATCGCACGAGAATTTACGGGAAATTATCCCCTTGGCCGTTGCTTGTTGGGAATTCAGTGATTTGTAATTATAATTTGTAATCATAATTAGAATAAAGCTTAAAATATTTGCTATGATGACTTACACTATGAAATATAAGTGAAGTTAATGCTACGATAACAATACAATTGCCATTGCATTTAAATTTTGAATCTAGCTTAATGTAATGTTTCTCACTTCAAAGAATTTTCGTGTTGACGATTTCTTACATTAACAAACAAATAAAATTATTTGCTTATTTGATTTTTACTAGCTGTATTATAATGAGACACAATCTATTCGAGTACGTAACAAAAATTGTAATTAATGCGTTTGAATGATAATGAAGTGAAAAGAGTAAAACGAACGTAAACATTCGTTACTGTTTATTTTAGTTACAAATTACTTCATTTTTAACCACTATACTCACACACGCGCGTACACACGTATGCACGCACGCGTGCACACATCTGCACATGCTATTATTAAATGTATAGGTCTTTCAAAACCGGATTTTCAAGAGCGTAAAATATTTTTTATAATAATTTTTATATATACTGCCTCCATTTCTTTATTTGTAACTCTGTGATACGAAATAACCTATTAGGATTAACTATGAAAAATTGATCAATTAACAATTAAAATCCAATCAATCTACAATAATTATGATTACTTAGTGTAAAAAATTTGATCAATAGTCCTTTGTATTGATATCTGTGTCATGTATTGGCAAATTATGAATTCAATATGGTCTTAGCGAAGTTCACATTAAAACCTTATAATTTACATTTTAGCTCGATTCACTGGGCGTTAGTCTGCTATAAATCGAAATTGTTTTAGTTTTCCACGATTTCTAAAAGTTGCTTATCCGTTGAACTTAGTTAGACACTATGATATATTTATTTATTTTTCGTATATATATATATATATATATATATATATATATATATATATTATATTGTAAATTAAGCATATTAAGCCTTCGGTATTAAATTCCGTACTGCCGACTACATACTAAAAAAATTTATGAATGGCAATTTTCTTATATTATTCCCGTACTAAAATCTTGCTTCTAAACTTCAAATTTACTTGCAGTTGAACTAAAAATCGGCTGTGAGAATCATCGTTTGATGAAATGAATTGCCTTCGATTTAGAAAATTTTAAAGTACAGTTAAAAGTTTTAAAGTGCGTTTTACAGTACATTGAGAGGCACACAATTATAAAAATATCGAAATCATTAAATTTATTCGTGACGAAGCGAAATCGCCTTAGTTAACCTATAATCGAGCAAATTTCACGAGCAGCATCAACAGCACAACGTAAATGAAGATAAAACGTTCATCTAAGAAAAGAATGAGTACTTTTACTCTCTGCGCTCGATACTTACAGCAGCCGCAACAACATCAACAAAAACAATAATAACAACAATAACATAAACAATAACAATAACGGCGGCTCAAATTCCAACGGTGGAGAGCAATTTGCGGCGAAGCGCGAACGCGTCGACGGCTCGCCGGGCGCGCCTAATAAATTCGACCGCTGGCAAAATCGCAGTACGTAGCTTCCCGCGGCCGAAGGCAGACTAACAACATCCAACATCCCGTGCGGCGACGACCGGGGGAGCGACGCCGCCACTGCTGCTGCCACATCAGCCGCAGCCGCAACCAACACCGTCGCCGTCGTTGTCGTGTATTTGGGTCAGCAGTACGGAACTCGAGTGAAGGTGCCAGCGCCAAGGGTCCTCGCGCTGCCTTTTACCTTTTCAATTTGACGCTCTCCCGAGTACACCAAGAAAGAACAAGAACTCGCAAGTGTCCGCCGACGCTTGAATTTAAGGGTCCTCGCTTTTTTAGAACAACAATTAAAATTCTATGTAGTTAAATGGATAATGCGTTATGTTTGTTGGTCCTTTTTGCCCCTGTGTATATATCAATTGCTGAAATTTATTCCGCGCTGGCATTTTCAAATACTTGCTACAAACTAAAATATTAAATGTAAAAGGCAAGTGATATATTTTCAAAAATAAGAGAAACAGAGAATTTGGCGAATATGTTTTTTAATTTAAAGACAACTGTTGAAAATGAAATGCACAATTGGATAATATATCCATAATCACAAGGTGTCATAAAAATGTCATTTATCAAAATTTTCCAATGGCTGGAATTCGATAAAATAAATTACTTTTAGAGCTAAATCCCTTGCAAACACTTCTGTAATTATAAAATTAAAAATCCATTAGTTAAGATAGATATAAGAATATATTTGTTAGATAAATAATCACAAACGGTATTACACGTCAGTATTAAATCTTCAATTGATTGTTTTGTAATTTATTAATTAATGATTTATTTGAACAATTTTAAACCAATTATATGTTTCTATTTGATACAACTAATGCAATATTCTTTAATAAGTTACAATAATAGAACTTCATTGTATAATAAAATAGTAAACAAATATTTTATATATAGCCAATTTCTCTCTAATTTGATGTAAGAAATATTGAGAAAGTTTTAAATTATTATGTTTCATATTTCTTGCTAAACCTTTTAAATTTATTATATACTGGCATAACGATTTTATAGAAAAAAAAATCATCGACATAGTTTTTGAAGATTTTAAATTATTACATATATATATATATATATATATATATATATATATATAAATTATAGATTTATATCTAAATATACTTATAAAGTACAATGAGAAAACAAAAAAAAATTGCTTTAAAATAATAATATATAACATATAAAATAAATGTAACTTTCACATTCTTTAATAAATAAGTATTTAATTTTTTTTCAATTAAATTTCTATATGTATACATGCTATTTACAGTAATATAGAATAAAAATAATTCTTTATAAGCGAAATTTTTTATTTTTAATTAGCATTCTACTGAATTTTTATTCCAGAACATTGTACAATTATTAATAGTAGCTTCATTTTCAACGTCGTAAACATCAAAGATATTTTATTATATATTGAAAAAACAAATATTGACAATAATTATATGTATTAAATAAATTAATATTAAAGATACTTACCAATAACATGAGGTACATATACATATCTCAATAAAACAGTAACATTTTAATTATAATATAATTATATCTGATGATTGCAAAAAGAACTTTCTAAATTAACCGTGCATAAAAATCGTTAAATATTTTACTTTATATTAGATATCCCGTATACATAATATATAATAGGAAAATATTAAATTTCTCAATTTCATGATCAAACGCTAGTTAGCTTATATATAATATAACAAATTTAAAATAAAACAATTCCAATTACTCTTATAAATAAATTTATAAATTTAACATAATAAAATTTTTTAATTAATATTAAATTAAGTAAAAATAATAATAAATCTCACTAACTAAAGTTATTTGCAATAAAATACGTATATTGATATTTTTATATCGATTTTAATGATATGAATATTTTAGACAAAAATTATTTTCTATTAAATATCTTGTTAATTTAATAAAATCATAAGATATATAGTCTTTGCGCGATATGTAATGAAACAAGTAAATTTGAAGACTTTTAATACTGTTTCAACAGCTAACATTATAATAAAATGATTACGAATTTTATTATATTATTACGAAATATTATAAAAATATTATAAAAATTAAAAAAAAAAACATTAAACATTTACTATTGCAATGGCAACTGAATTCAATAAATACAGTATTTATACAGTTAATTTTATAAATTATATCGACTTCAAACAAAATATATTTCAAATTAAAATCAAAACTACTTTAAAACAATATTAATAAAATCTATAGATACAAATAAAACGAAATTAAACTTAATAATTATTTTGAAAATAGAATAATTTATTTAGAATAAAATTTAATTACGCAGTGTATAAAAAATTATTATTTGGTATATATTCTATATATTTGGTATAGTTCAGCTGCAGTACAGCGTAACTGCGATTTTCGTAAACTCGATGAAATGGATGTGCATTACCGCGGAAAAGTATCGGACACACAGGCACTTTTTTTTCCTTTTTTGCATTTCCTTCATCATCTAGATCCCAGAGATCAAGCATTTTACAACCCGGTTTCCTATAGTAATTATGAAATTTATATTATCCTTTTCACAATACTTGTAAATATAAATATTCGAAAGTAAAAAAAAGATTCAATAATTATTGCAAAAAACTATTGTCTAAACAAATTTTTATATGGTATTTAATTAATAATATTAAATATGTTTAAATTAATTTCGATAATTTAATTTATCTAAAATTATATATTTTATTTATAGATTTATCGATACTTTCATATTTGTAAATGAAAAAAATTTTTTAATAATTACCAGTATCCACGTCCGTAACAAATTGCCTCTTCTATAATAAGATAATCAACCTGCAATTTTTTCAAAGTTTCATGAACCTCGGAAACAGATTTTCTACTAAAGATTTCATAAACTTTTTTTGTCCTATCGCTAAAAAGATAATTATAAATTATTATCGTTAGATGAATTGATAGATAAATATCCAATTGTATAAATGATAATTAAACAGTCGCTTTTGTTCAGCGATACTAACTTAAAATATAAATAATAAGCTATAGATGTTTTTAAATAAGTATATAAACTTTACAAACACACATTTTTATTCCTTTTATATATAAAGTTAAATATATGGATATTTAAACTTACCGCATTTCTTTGTCCTCATAATATGGATTATTCACTATTGGCCTTCTTGTTGACAACATGAGATTTGCCATTAACGACATTTTACCAGCAAAAACAGCTGTTTTTGGAGTCTTTGCTTGTACCCATTCGAACAATTCTTCTTGATCTACATTACTATACTCTCCTTTAAATGAGATGTAAAGATATATTAAAATTAAAAGTATCTTATATAAACTGTCAAGGAATTAATAAAGAACATTAATAATATTAACATAACAGGAAATATTAAAGAACGCGAGTATTATTAATTTAATTTAAAAAATTACTATTTAATATTTTCGTTTACATTATTCATTTATTTTTATATTTTATATAAATAAATAAATCTACTATTTAATAAATCCTGAAATAATTTAATATTTAAATTTATGCATAAAATTATTTTAATACAAAAATCTTGTATACGATTTACCAACAATTTCTCGCTGTTTCATAAATCGTTGTATGCCATTATATGACATAATAGCAAGTACGAGTGTAATAAGCATACGTTGTGTTATTTCCTTCTTAATACCTAATTTATCCAAATATCTTTTGCTACACGCTAGTCCAGCAAATATACATATGTGTGGAGTCATAAATAATTTCAATCTCATAATAAACACTGCCATTATAGTGAAAGCTGCAGTTTGCAAAATATTATATGCTATATCTGGTTCTATGCAATTTGGAAAGCCTTGCGTTTGAAGATTTCTGTACCAATAATAAAGAACCAAAACACCTGCTAGAATGAAAGTGGGTAGTAGATATGTTTTGATAAGAGTTTCATACGTTTGATATTTCAGGAAATCAAATTCTGCTGCACATGTATAAAGCATTGTATGAAAATCTTTATAATTTGTGACTTTCGATCTAAGTATGTTAACGATGTGTTCATAATCAGACGAATTTATAAATAATATCTTCCATAATTTTGTAAAAAATAGAGTACCAGTTATTTCTAAAAGTGTGAGTGTTCTGAAATCAAATTTATGGGATAAAACGCGACTCAATTCTGACCAACCATAACTCACAACCAACAAAGCTAAATGGAATGAATTTAATAAAAAAAAACTCTTTTTTATAATAATTGATACGCCAACTGATAAAAGGTGTATCATAAAATAGTATGAATACATTTTATTATCTATTATTCTTAACCATTTAAGAATGAGCATAGCTATTGTTTGAGTTATAAATACGAATGGTGAAAATTGCCAACTCACTAAGCAAAAAGATATTAATATAACAAGATCCTGTAAAAGGCAATACAACAGTTTAGAACATTTTTGAAAACAAAATTTTTCAAGCAATATTATACAAAAGATATGCTCTGGTAAAATAAATTAGTAACATTCTTGTTTCTTTTTACAAATAATAATTTAAAATAAATTAATAAACTTATTCTTTAGATTTCACATTAGAGCTTAGTTTTATATAATTATTTGCAATTTCTACTATATGGATATTAAAAAATACAAACGGAATTTTCACTAAAATGTTGTGGCACTTTCTTTCTTTTTAAGATCATTGATAAAATATACATTTGCAAGAGATGTGATGGGTAAGCAAAGCTTTCGCGTAAAGGAGGAGTCCATTGTACCCTGGTGCACTCATCGTGATTAAAGAAAAATGAAGCTATAGCTATTAAGCCTCCTGAAATAGAGCCACTGAGATTTGTAGAGTAAAGGAAAACTATGGCTCCAGTAACTAGTGTAAATATCCATACAAATTCTAAATAAAAGTACATTGGCACTCCTAGACCTTCGCAACTTATAATAACAGATAAGCCCTCATCTCGTTCAATCTTAAACATAAATATTTATATAAATTTTTTTCAATTTATGAATAAATTAGATTAAAAGAATTTATATACAATTTACTTTCTAATAATTATACTAAAAGTGTTGAAAAAAACAATTTTTTTTTCCTCACCTGCCAACAAAGTGGCTTTGGCATAAATCCCAAGTATTTTAGAATATGATAAAACATAGCAATATTGATCTAAAATTACAGATACATTATTAATAAAAGTATTATCCTTTATGATTATGGATTAATAAATGTTTATTCAGTAATAAGATTGATATTAACAAATAAAACATTATTTCATTTGTTAAAATGATTCATGTATAAAATTAATATAAGAATATTTTCAAAGTTATATAAAACTATAAAAAATTAACTCTAAAATACAATATAAAAAAATAAAATACCTCTGGAACAAGATTATATTTTTTTTCTGCATTGGTAATTTGTGGATATTGTGAAAGATTATCATGATTTATTCTATCCATACCTTCTAAAAAACTTTCAGATTCTGTCAGAGTTTTATAGTAGGAATAATAAAATCCCTAAAAACAATTATAGTATATATTTCATTTATTTAATTTGAATGTAAAAACAAAATGAACTATGTAAACTGAAAATAAAGGATTTTTATCATTAATAAAATTACCATTTCTGTTCGAAAAGACATTTCCCTTTCCAATTCTGACAGATGAGAAAAATGTCTTTCATTTTCAAATAATGTTGATACATGCCATCGATGCAAAATTCCAAAACCTAAGGCTGTAAACAAATTTTTAATTAATTACATTTACAGAAATAAATGTAAAAAAAATTCAAAGTTTCAAATAATAAATAAAAATATATTTTAAATAATTGACAAAATTTTAAAATTAATAGTAAAAATAGAAATAATTTTAAAATAAAAATAGTAATTTATTATTTCAATGTAGAATTCTAGACTTAAATGAAAGAAATACCTAAGATTATTTTAAAAGTAGAAATAGAGGAGTCTTCCATTATCTCAATTACATAACCTAAAACTTCTAATTTACTCTTATATGAGTTTCAGTTAAAATATTTATAATGCACATTTAAAATTTTTAATCTTAATTCAATATTCAATATCATTAAGTAGAAATAAATATGGAATTTGCTATACAATAATAAAAAACTAAGAATTTACAAAAAGTATTAACAATATCTATATTTGAATATTATTCTAAATGATGTGTGCTGGATAAATATAAATAGTCACCGACAAATTTCTGTGCGTCATTTATAAGAGTAACGTAATCAATTTAAAAGTTGGTATTATTGACTTAAACGTCACCGATTCCAATCCGAATGACGGTCGACTCCTGTGATTTCTAGCCACATAATTGCAATGAAGGTTTTCAGGAGTTAATTTCCTAGAGGAAATATAGTTTATATTATGTATAAACCATTCAATTGCATCATGTAATTGTTTTACTAAAATAAAAGAAAGATGGGCGAAGAGAAAAAGTTGAGCAAAGAGCCGTTGTTTAGTTGTTTTGTATGTGCATTGAGTTCTTACAATAAATTGTTTGCTTCAATTTGATTAATGAACGATTCAATAAAGTATCATAGTTCGAATATGTGAGTAACAGTAGGATTAATAAAAATGTAGCTTAATTATGAATGATTGACGTGTTGATTCGCTTAAATCCATTAACATTACTATAAACAAGTATATTTTCAAAAATGTAAATATTTTTTTATGCGTTATTTTTTAGGAAAATTTAGATAGTTTTTATTTTATTACATATACTTATTTAATTATTTTATTCAATCTTTCTAATATTTTACAATGTACTTAGAAGTTTTTTAGTAAATATTTTGTTTTACAATGCTGAATTGTTTTACTTATTATGCAAAGCTTAGTATCTCTAGCATAGTCTTGATATTATAATTTCCTTCTGTCATATTGCATATTCAATTTTATTTCTGTATTTCCATCAATTTCATTATAAATTTTCTATGTAATAATAGTTATAATTTTTAATTATGTTTTGTTTGTACAGTTAAAATAGTCTTAACAATAATAGCAACAATAAATTTTGTGAAATGTTAATATTAAATATAATATTGTAACATTAAATTATAAAAACTACATTAAGTTTAAACAAAAATACAATTTATTACTGAGTTCCCATAGATATCGACATCAATCTGGTCATTTAATTGGTATTATCCAATATGTTATTTAGAATATGATTAAAGAACGCTCGTGTGGAAAGGATAAAATAAAAAAAAAGAGAAAAGTAAGAGGGAATTAGAGAGAGAGAGAGAGAGAGAGAGAGAGAGAGAGAGAAATGGCAATAAGTGGAATGATGATCCAAGTACAAATTTAATTTATCGATATTTCTTGCCAAGGTATATTGATTTATGTAATTGTTACTACTTTACATATTGTTCTTATGTATTAAAATTACTAATTACTAATTACTAATTACTAATTACTACTTTATATATTAAAATTATTAATTCATCAAAAGAGTATTTGTCTCTACTGTATATTTTTATTAATCCATGACGTTACTTGTGTCACACTTGAAATTTAATAAAAATTATTTTCTATATTCTCTCTCTCCATTTTTTTTTTTCAATTGATGCAGAAGTTTATAAATTTATGGTATTTTTAAAAAGAAAATACTCTTGTAGTTCTCAGTAGTGAGAATTCTCAGAATGCATAATTATAGTAGCACATCGTTCGATGTGCTATTATAATTAAACACTATTTTCTATTTGAAAGCTGTGTAAATTATAATCATTATTATTCATTTTAGAGAAATATCAGGACATAACCGAAACAATTGTGAATCGACTAGTATTACAATATTTAACTTTTTTTCCAAACAATACTTCATACGATTTACTTTTTTCGTTCTTTTCAGTGCACGTACAAATATTTTTCATTAAAGGTTTAGATGAAACTGTCGTTATAGTATTAATTACAAAATTTAAACATCCAGAAAGAAACAGTAATTACTATTAAAGTTAACTAGGTTCGTATAAAGTTACGGTATAAAAATATCTCTGTTTATTCAATCATGTAAAATGCACGTCTACATTTACATGCGAGAAATAACTTTCATTGATTTATATCTATACGGACATAAATTAAAATATCCGCCGTTCCAAATGCGCGTGCGCTTTGTTGTGCGCATTTCTCACGACAATGGCGCAACGACGTTTGTGGCGACGATTAATCGTACTAATCTCGCGTGACGGCCATAGGAACGGGCGATCAGCTGGACGAGGAGGCGGAGGAGGAGGAAGAGAAGGTAGTGGTGGTGGTGTTGGTGGCGGTGCTGACGATGCTCGCGGGGCGTGGAAAGAGAGGCTGATAGAAGGGAGGGAGAGAGCAGTAGGCCTCGTCATTTCATCGTTTCCGGAAAATTCGTCGCGCCATCCGCGGATCAAGATGGCAGTTGCGCGCAGTTGTCTGTTTATTTACTACGCGTTATCTGGTGCATCGTAAAAATTTGACGTAAAGGCAAGCGAGCTGCGTAGAGTTCTTGCGAATGCCTTCGTATGTGTCGGGAGACGTGATAGACGAGTCGTCGATGATCCGAAGAGGCACAACAAGCTGACAAAGTTCGAGAATATTGTCTCCTGTGAAAGAAAGCCAACCAACCGATCAGTACGTAGGCTCAATCTCTGAAAATTCAGTGCCTGTATGAGATTGATAGATGCATGGATAGACAGAGAAATAGAGAGAGAAAGAAAGAGAGCGAGAGGTATAATAAAGAGATAGATAGATAAAGAGAGAGAGAATAGAGACAAACAGACAAAATATAAAGGCTGAGAGAGAGAGAGAGAGAGAGAGAGAGACGTGGTAGGCTAAAGTGCTTTGCTTGAATCCACGCGAGTTGTTATCCGTCAGAATCGGGTCGACGACGCGCGCCCGAAGTGTCTACGACATCCTAACCTGCAAGGGGAAAGGAGGTGGAGGAAGTGTCGGTAGAAGTGGAGGAGGAGGTAGAGCATCATCTTGGTCGCATCGGGTCAGCTGCATCGAGTGCCGTCGTGTGACCGCGAGCTCTCCTCCTTACAAAGGATCCGCCTTCCTCTAGCCTTGGATAACGAAGAGAAAGGCCGTGGGAAGGAGGGTTATGCGGAAGCTCAGCAAGTGCTTCCCCAACGGGACAACGATGCAATGCTACGGTCGCAGCCTGTGAGTCCTGACACGGTGATCGCTACGAGGATGGCGGAGGAGTTACTGCCAGCCAGCCTGGAGAAGCTCGAGATAGACTGCTGGCTCTCCCCTGGCTGCTGTCACTCGTGAGTATTTATCTAATAGTCGTGACACTCGCGCAAGCGTATATCCCCCTCCCCTTTTTTTCCAAACGATTCATTCCCGCCGCTCTTCGGTGTCCGTCCCGCTTCTATTGGATCTTGTAACTCGTGCGTACGAGTCTAGCAGACGGGTAGGTCGTTTGTTTTGGAGATCGAACGAAAGAGCACAGCTGAGCACATTTGGATTATTCATTGGCTTCGGTGTAGTTGCTATTTCCACTGCTGGTGTTGCTGGTGGTGGCATATGATATCCAAGCGTCTGTCTCCTCTTGCTTTTAATCTTTCGGATAAAAATAGCTCTCTTGGCAGTACTGGGCATTCCAAATACTCAGCTGCCCAATGGCCACGTTGCGCGGATTTGAACGTCCGTGAAAATCGTCGGTAAAAAGTTGAGTTAGAACTGATTGGGGGCGGGGGTTGGTAGACAAGGGAGTGCGTGACTTTCGATCCTGGAGAAAGGAGCGTTACTGGGGAGAATGTGTTATCGTTGGGAGTTGGGCCGTTAGTGGAGGCCACACCGCAAATCGCTGTTACGGCTACTAATATTTTTGGTAAATTTTCTTCAAATAGCTGTATTAATTTGAATAAATTTTTGTTAATGTATCCTATTCTTAACTTACTTGTGACATTAATAATATTAATGTTAATAAATTAATTACGACTATTTATCTTTTGTTATAACCGACACTATAATTTTTAAAAACTTTTAACACGTACTTTATCTTTTATTTATTCAAAATTTCAAGTTGAAGATTGAAAACAATCATTGAAACAAAGTATTGAAATTTTGAACTAATAACTAAAATTTGCTTTAATTTGCAATAAGTAAATGAATTTTATAAAGATTTTTATTTTTAATCTATAAAGTTCATTTGGTAAAATTCAGTAAAATATAATGAAATGTTAATTTTTTATAAATTAATATTTAAATCAATATAATACTAGATTTTTACATGATAACAAGAGGGATTAAACAACTATATTAATAATTTGATATATTACCTTTTAAAATTATATTTTAACTTTCACAAAATATTCCTGTTAGATAAATTAAAATATTTTTGTATTTTCTAGTAATAGCTACTAATAATTAAATTATATATGTGTTATTCAATGTATTATAATACAAAATATAGTATTGGAAGAGTAATCTAAATGTTGATATCTCAATTTTTATGTGTCTGTTGTTTTAACATTGTTACCTGATAATTCAATATCTTAATTACATAACCTAAAAACTATTTACTTTTCTCATTCGAAATTACATTATTATTTTGTTTTATAGGAAGGGTGTTAGTAAGCTTCGGCGACGATCCATGCCAAACACATCGATACAGCCTGTTGAGAGCCCTAGGGGCATAAAAACTACAACGAACTTCAAACCATCCAAAAAGGATGAAAGGAGAGGTTTTCTGGCACTTGACAAACCCAAGAAACACTCCATAATCCGAGAGGCTGTTCTCAAACTTCGCAATTCTGATCCCACTTGCCTGAGTGATAATTTGGCAAGTACACTTCTTGAAGAGGCTTGTAAGCTCAGTATTTCTCAGTAAGTCCAAAAATAATTGTTTTATAACTATCTCTGTTAGTTGTATGATTAGAAATATTATGAATTATTACATTGAACATTACTGAACAACGTACACTACCAAAATGTGTTGACAGATTCTAATCATTTACATCAACATTTAATATTACGTTTTTTCCTGATATTTGTAATGTATGTAATATATGTAATTTCAGTAAGAACAAGACATTTGGTCATGGCTCAGTTACAAAAGACTTTAAATCTCTTAACATTAGCCAAACGATTAGACAGGCTAAGGATGACACCAGCATCACTGAGAACTATCAGACACACAGCTTTCAACGAGCTCGAAGCAACACCATGCCAAGCCTAAAAAGATTGACTTGTCAGATGGAAAATCCACAAAACCCGCTTAACAGTGGACAGCAGCAGTCTTCGAGTTCAAATACCTGTTCGGTGCAAGCACGAATATCACCGCCACCTTGCGACGTGACCATCGATGAACTTGCTAGTTATTTTGAAGAATTTGTTCATATTCCAAAGAAAATGTCGCACATGGCTGAAATGATGTACATTTAAATATGTTCTCTATTGAGTGCTTTTTCATTGGAAACTAAACTTCACAAGTTCTTTTTTAATTTTAGTGCATTGCTAAATCCTTCAAAAGTTTACCGGCGTTATTGTTATTATTATTATTGTTATTATTAATAATAATATAATAATAATATAATTATTAATGAGTATTGTCGATTTGGTGGTTATTTATTATTGGCCTACAGTTGCCTCAAAGTTTTTGAAATGTACACTTTGTATTATAAATATAATTTGAGTTTATTCAATTAACAACTCAATAAAATTTTATTTATCAATTTTAATTTCTTTAAAGCTCAAATAGGAATCAATTGTTCGAGCGGAGAAAATATCTTCATACAATATGAAGTATTAAAGTATAGAAGAATGTGATTGTTATAATAAAATGCAAAAATCAAAGTTCGATAACAGTAAGTTTCTACAATTTAATTTTAGAAATTCTTACACTTTTTCAAAAGTCATTCAATTAATTAAAAGTAAAGTATTGATAAAAATAATAAAACTCAATAGATGATTTTTCTTTATTTTGCCTGACTCTACATGTAGCTAATTAAATTTACTAAATTTATTGGTATATAATGTCGAGTTTTCATCATGTCAAAATCATACTAAAATTAAAAAAGAAATACTGTAATCTTGGTGTTTAAACCAAACATAAACAATCTTAAGGGCTAAACTTTGAAGATGTCATAATGATACCTCTGTAACAGTAGGCCACAACACTTGTTAGTCTTGTATCGAAAAGATCTGTCCCTTGTTCGTAAACTGCATATTTGCTATAAGTTTTTTATGTGGTACCTAAGTTATATCTAACGTAGATTAAATTAAAATCTAGAAAGCAAGTTTTGGTTTTGATTAACTATTACTTGTGTTTTAAATATTATATTGTAATGTTCGTTTATTTTTTTAACAATGTTAGTTAAAAACTACTAAATAGTTTACTGAAAACTGCATATATATTTGCATTAGTGCAGAAACATTTCGTCATTGTTTAATATTAAATATAATTTTGCATTCGTGTTCGTTAGCTGGACTACAAAATGTTGTAAATATACGTTAAAGCACGAACCGAACAAAACGAAAAATTTCTTTTTTATGTAACAGTTATATAAAAACTCAAGTTCTATATGCATTGATAGCATTTTTGTATTAAAAGGATCCATAATAACTATTGTTCTTTTTATAATTTTTATTCAACTTAATTATATTATATTATATAAGATGTTTTTTCTTACAGTCATGTATATATCTGATATGAATAGCAGTTAAAAAATAAACTTTTTAAATTCAATTATAAAATATACCGACGTTTTTATTTTAATTATGACTCAAAACATTCGATTAGTCAATAAAAAGTATTGAGAATATAACGTAGCATATAGATTTTTTTTCAATTAATTAAAAATTATGTCACGTGCTTATTTAAGAAATAATATAATATTAAATTTTTTAATCACACTTTTAAAAGTTTTGATTGTTGTTTAGTATTTATATTTGTTAAGTAAAAATTTATGATATTTGAACAAGAACAAAAGGTAAATAGACGAGTTTCAAAATGAAAAAGTATTTTTTGTACTTATAATACATAATAATATATTTATCTCCATATGGACATAATAATTATAGTAATATTACAAAATAATAGTTAAATTACTTAACGTATTAAAAAAAAAAAACTTTGGTACATAAACAATAATGACAGCATATCAATCTTATTAATTGAACCCTTAACCAACTTATATTTTTTTTCTATTCTTTATGAAAACAAGAAAGAACACGGGATCTCTTTTTCCAAACGTCGGATCTCCATTTTTCGTGCGTTCGCTTTGTCCTACACGTACATTTACTCGTGCGAGTATTAAAAAATACTACATACATCCTTGTAAAATTCAAAAATAAGAATTTGCACAGCAGATTTAAAAGAAACTAGAAACAAATTAGACAGCAAGTTGTGTTGTATATGACATCTACACGACTATGCCGAAGTTTGTATTATAATTTTTTCAGTTTGTTGCCCCACCTTTGTTGCTTTTAAATACAATTATACGATACATCAATGTACGATACGTCAAATATCAAATTATTTTTAAATTACTTTCGGACTGTGTTTTATTTATTTATGCATAAATATATATTTCCGAAATACTTTGGTTCTTGTTTATGACTATCATTTTATTCAATTTTAAATATTCGCGTAGTAGATTTATGAATTGCAATGATGTCCATATTCAAATATTTGGGATAGTGCAAAAATTATTATGAATTATCGAATTGAAAGTATCGAAATAGATAAAATGTTGTTTTGTAATTAAAATCAATATATTTATGAAATAAAATTGACTTATTACGATTTCGCCAGTTTCCCCACAAAATGCCAATGTAATTAAAACAAAATGTTTGCAAAACAGTTAACGTTTTTACGCGTATTGCGTCAATTAAAATAATTTATATCTCGAAGCAATAAGAAATGTGGACCGACGCTGCCCTCAATGACTCATCCATCCTTTCTCCTCGTCCCGTAAAGTCGCAACTCGTAATTTAAGGTCTGCCTTTATATCACAGATGCGTCGTGAAATTTTTTCCAATATCAATCAATATACCATTAACTTAATATTTTCGTGTGTAAAGTTCCATAATGATGTGGCCAACGAATAAATATCGATCTGCGGAAAAAATATGAAAATGAAATCTTCGACACGGTATTGCGTCCGTTCAAAGAAACCTTTAACATTTTTAAATAAATAACTACTTTGCATTGATCAAATTATATAGCGGATGTCATGCTTGAAAATTCACGGAACGCAACAGTAAACTTAAGGCATTATTTCTAAGACAATATTACTATCGATACATACTCATTATACACTCACGGTAATTAGCACATAGCGCATTTAAATACGGCAGGAGTTTTCGCAATGGACTCTCTCGAACCCTGTTTTGTGTTATTGCATAATATAATTGCGCCGTGTGTCATTATTTTTTATATTCATTCGTTAGAATTGCCGCTATTAAACCATAAAGCTGCTATGACAAAATTATAAATACAAAATACATAGTCAGCTAAAGTTTTTCAGGGATGTGACGCCTTGTTGTTTGTATGCGATCAAGTCGAATATTAATTTGTCTTCAAATTTCGACAATAATTATATCGGAGGAGGATTACATTAGTTCGTTAAACACGATTTTTTCCATTTCTAATTGTACAGTTGTAAATATGGACATTGCATAATGTACTATGTACTCGCTCGGTTATGATTGTAATGGACATCCAATATTGAATTACACCTGCTTGCATGATCTTACAAGTGAGTATTCATTCGGGGCATTATTTTTAATAAAAGATTCTTTGATGAAAACTACGTTAAATGGTAATGTGTTGATCAAATTGCTGAAAGTACGTACAGTCGTTATAATAAAAACTTGTCTTACTCGTGGCAGCGATGACTTTGTGGTGTTATTCAAAGTAAAAATAATACAAATGTGATATCTTGGAATACAATACGCTTCGACGATCAATTTTGATGGTGTGTATATGATATTTTTCTCAACTGAATACGTACAATCGAAAACCAACTTCAAGCACCATATCTAATATAGAAAAGTTAAACAAAAATATAATCGATGGTAGGCTATGCTGCAATTACTCGTTATCCATGTTTTAGTCTCTATACAGCATTTCCTTTAATTTCATCATTTATTGAAGCAAGGACGGTGTTATCATTAACGCAGAAGTGAAGGACGATTCTAATAGGAGTTACAGGCCAATAAAGACCAAATACGTCCTTGCGAACGTTAAAGATCATTAAATAACAACAGAGGCTTCGGTTGGCTGCGTTATTAATGCGTTAGAAATTAATAAATTTTTCACAACTAACATGTAACGTCGCTCTATAATTACAGTAAAATGTCACTGCCTATGGTCATTAATGAATATAAATATTCTTAAAATTTTAATTGAAAATTTCATTGCTACAATTACATTTGAAGAACAATTAAAGAAAATAATAATTGTATAAAGTTTAAATATTTCTGCAATCTTTAAGCGAAATCCCAAAGGATTACTCATGTTTAATCTTATATTTTTCAACTCGTAGTTAATAAAAAATTCCGATATATGAATTGTGACTTCGTTCAGTCAATACTACAAAAGAAAAATCCAAGAAGTACATTGATTGAGTCAATTCTAGATAGTGTACTTTTAGAGCAAGTCTCTGGAGAAGAATAAACGCCGCTATTGATAACACCAACACCGAACATTTACAAAGTCTTCAACAATTCTTAAACAAATGGCTTCAATGCCTCCGATAAAAATATTCTTAATAATCCACGAAATTCACTATATTTATTTGGTTTAAGCAAAAATAGTCATTTATTTTTATTTAATTTGTTCTTTTCCTATCCCCCAACTAACTTTCTAGTTTCCTTTGGAAAAAAGCGGAAAAGTTATTTTGCAAAAAGACTCGATACAATTATAAATATGTATCATAGCATGCAATCGATTTTTTTTCTAAATAACTTCGACTGCTGTAATTTTCACCTATATCTCGATAGCAAATGCATGTAAGAATTGATTTCTATATGGCTCTGGGATAAATTTGCGCTCAACTATTGTTATAGCCTATGACAATGTTATATTTCATATGCTCAATTATTGTTAAAAAAATTATTGCAATTTTTAGTGTAACAAGTTTTAATAAAAAAAAATTTATAATTTTATTATAAGAAAATATTACTACGATATTACCACAATCAATTTTAAATAATTATTATAAATCTCATGAATAATGGAATCATTTTTTATTATCATTAAAATAAATTAAAATTTAATAATCAAATATAGAAAATCTGAAAAAATTTCAATAATTTCAATAATAAGACTTGATTTCTTTTGCAAGTAATTGAATATGTTAATGCAATACATCAAACGATATTTTCAAACCTCATGATCTAGCTTTAAATGCACGCCAATCATAGTCTATATTCAGATGCGCTGTAATAATATATTTATGCCAAATGCTACATATAAATTCACTCGATTCATACAATAAATGAGTATTGTTCAAATGTAAAATGAAATATAATAAAATTCCATTCTAATAAAAATTATTAATAAAAAAGTTTTTAAATATCTTTATATTTATACGTTATCAACATTAAAAATCTATGATCTTTGAATATTTAATAGTATAATAGAAATATTTGTCTTGCTTTATTTTAAAATAATATGTCGAATAATCATTTAATGAAAAATTTACGAAATACCAAAAGAATCAGATAAAATATATATCCCGTGATTCATTTGACTATTTACTATTTACTACTAATAACTATATAGATTATTTTTTGAATATTGGTTACAAAAAGGATATTTCAATTACTCTCAGTATTAATTTTAAATAGCTTTTCGAAATAATGGATAAATAATCATAAAATTAACGTAGTTGCATAAATTTTAAAAGCAATAATGAAAATAATTCATATCTATTTATTTAACTAATTACATTTTTTTTTTCATCCAGTTTCTTTAGATTTTGGTTTTATTCGTATCAAATTCTACCATATATTACTTTTTATATTTAAAAATCTTTAATTTATACTTTATTATATTTCTGTTTCGCTCATTAGGTTTAGTTAAGAGTGGCAGTCGTTTTACAATACACTATTACATCGCAAAATCGAAAAGCGGTTCGAGTATAGATACTATCTTGTTTGTTGTTTTTTTTTTTATGGGAAGACAATACTGAATTTGCAATAAATGGTGTATCTAATATCATTTCAATGATTTAATTTAAATGCAGAAATCCAATTGGCCCCGAGTTAAAACAAAATTATAGGAAACTTTCACTAAATTTAAGACTTTAATCATAACATATTTTATCGAAAAGTTATTAAGTTAGTTTAAAAGCCAGTCACATTTTCGTAAAAATACCTTTTTTTGTTACCAAATATTTATCTCTTTGAATTATATCTGTTATATTAATATAAAATTAAGACAATAAATATACTTTATAAAATTAGTAATTGATTTTTAGAGATTTCAATATATGTAGAGTATATTTTGAAAATATACAGTTGAAGGCAAATTAAAATATATAAAAATAACTCTTTATAGCAAATAAAATACGATATAATTTCATTTCATAAAATCTTTGACTTAGAAAGTGTTTAATTCTTGCAGAGAATATATTTTTTACCTCTTAATTAGAAAATGAAATTACCCTATTAAAAACAATACTTTTTTAATAATTCAATGTCTGATTTTTTGTACAATATATTTGTGTATTCCCTTTTAGATATTCAAAATAATAATCATTATATTCTTATTTGCTATTTTAAATTCTGTAATTTCAATTGCAATTTTAATAAAATGTATAAAAAATTTCAACGTTAATGTAAATCGAATTTAATTATTTCTTAATAAAGCAATTCTACATTATACTCTTATTTGTTCCTAATAATTCGGCGTATTTCCGTGCATTAAAAGTCTTTACCAATGTTATTTATGTTAAGTTATTTTAAATATGATTGACTTTGCTAAATCAATAATATATGAACGTGCATTTGAGCAATAAATGCTTTTATGATTATATAAAGATTATATCGACCTAAAATTTTACAAATTTTTATGAAAATAATCACTGCTAGGCAATCACAATTATTTAAAAAATTTATCATTTCATGGCCTGCTTAAACATCAGAGCTTTGAATTAATTAAAGTTTAAAAAAAAAAAAAATTGTATTTGATCATTAATTACTTATAACATAAACCTATCCCTTTTTATTCATATTTTAATATGTATTTCAACATCTAAAAAATGGTTTTATGTTTTTTATAAAAATATTGATTTTTTTATCGACTAAATGAAAATATTTATAGACTTTATTAGTATTTTTTCTGTTAAGAGTGTTTTATCAACCATTCTCTTAAGCATCCTGTATATAATTACATATAATTCTGTACAGTTGTATACAATTACAAATAATTAGAAATATCTTAATATGTTATAAAATATAATTTCTTTTCTTAAACTACTAATGCCTAGCAGTGATTTTGAACCTTGCACTTTATCAGAAGTTGAGCACATTAAAAAATCGTCATTAAAATTTAGCTTGACTTTTTCAAGTAATGTAAGGAAGGGATATGCTTCAACTTCAAAAGGGATAACATGTTTGTGCTGAAAACATTTGTGCAGGATATAGTCTGATATTTGTCCATAGATCTTTTTATAAAAAATGTAGTATTTTTACGAATATTTTGTACGAGTAATATCTCTACTTCTTAAATTTAACTTGGCTTTGTTAATATATGCTACAACAAATTTTTCGATATTTCTTTCTCATACGTACATGTTTTATACTTTTTATTAGTAACTATTTTCAATCGATTCATTGTTCTTTTATACTATAAAATTTTTATAATTTTCGTGGTAATAGTTTCATGGCAATGTCATGGTAGTAATTTATAGTGACAATACGTTAAAAAGATATATTCCCAGTTTCTGTAATATACAAAAGGAAATAAGATTTGCTTAAAAATATTTCAGAGTATTATTCATCTGCTACTTTACATGTAATTTTTCAGTTTCTTCTATTGATTATTAGTTACTTAAAAGTTCGTGATTACTTGACAACTAATCAATAAATTAATTACATATTAAATTAATTGAAAACCATTAAAGTTACTTTTACAATTAATTGTCTACAATAGATTTTATAATAACTGTAAACAATTGTAGAAATAAAAATGTTAGCCAATACCTTGGTAGTATTCTGTATGTGCTATGTAGTCAGTTTTGAAACATTGCATAGATCAGTGCAGTTAAAAATCACAGAAAAATAAAACAAAAACGCTTCTGCACAAATACTGAATTAATTAATTACGTATCTCGTATTAATTAAATAAATGCATTAGATTATCACTAGTTATTTCTTATTCAAAATTGATCAACAGATTTCTACAGCATTTTATCATACCATTATTTATCCATTCTTAGAATGAATGTACTCATTTCATACAATTAGTTCATATCAAATTTGTTTAATCTTTATAAATATAGATCACCATTCCAAGTCTTTTACTGTTACGGGCTTGAGATATTTTGGAAAATTTTTTTAGCTAAATTCTTATTTCTCGTAACGCAATACACTCTTATATCAATTATTATAATTTTTTTTTTTTTTTTTTTGTTCCTTTCATATAAATTGTAACTGCTTCTAACAGACTAATTTGCAGTTACACGGTAACTAATAATATTCTACTAATTTAATGCATTTACGTTTAGTGTAATTGTCGATTCAAAATGGACCTACTTCTTATAAATACTTTGTCAAAATTATTAGTAAAATTTTTTATCATCTTTTCCTTTTCTTTTCTATTTTATATAGATTATCAAGAATTCCATGTACCCTCTCTCTCTCTCTCTCTCTCTCTCTCTCTCTCTCTCTCTCTCTCTCTAACTAGCTTCCAGTATGTTTATTCGTTTTTCTCTTTCTATCAATTCCCATTCTATCTATTTTTCACGGGACTTACATTTTATTGCAATTCGCATTTAAAATTTTTCTTATGAAATTCAAACACGATCCTGAATCATGTACATATATATAATGTATACACTTATACGAGTATACATCTATGGCACATGGTATCTTTAATCGTTGATTATTTGCACTGTCATTGTTTTCTCGTGGTACAGAAAATTGATTCTGACATAGAAGAAAGTTTTTCGCATTTAGTATTACGATGATCAATTAATTTTACACAATCAAACGAGAATCGATCGATCGATCGTATGTAAGTAAATTTCATACAACATAAATTTAATTCTATCCGACTTTACGTTGGCATTTCATTACCGACTGTTTTTATTAAATCTGAATAAAATTTCATAAGAAAATGATCGACGCACTTGATTAAAAGTAGGGTCGCAAATATTATTAAATTATCGTGTAAAATTTGTTATTTGATCTTCAATAGAGTTCACTGTAATTCACTGTTTGCAGTAAGAGTGCGAAAATGAAGATACTAGTAAGAAAGAATTTTCATTGGGATGTTGAACAATGCATTCGACCAGTCCACTCTTCAAATGATTGCCTGCAGGCTCGAGAGCATCAGCCTACAGCTGTTTTAAAAATAGTTCACTCTCCTCTGTAGCGTCCATGGGGGATAAAAAATGTCGTACGGCGCCGTTTCAACGCGCGCGCGCGCACGCGCGTCCGTATGTGTACAAAGACAAAATGGAACGGTTTGATAAGGAGAGAGGGCGGGAGCGAGTCAAGTGTGATAGATAGACAGAGACATAGATGGGTAGATAAATAAATAGATAGATATAGATAGATAGATCGAGAGAGGAATGAACGATAAAAAGTATGAGTAAAATAAAGAAATAATGGAGAAGAGGTAGGAGAAGTCGGCGACACAACGCTTCAGCAGTAGATGCCATAGAACTCCATGGCACAGTTAACGTTAAGCGGGTGGTAGTGGGCATGGTGTGGAACTAGATGAGCCGCCGTGGCTTGATGGGCCGTGTATCAGTCTGTCGGCGGTTCGAGGTAGGGTATTTCGCTGGTTACGTTAAACGACTCGAAGTAGTGGTTAAGGAACTCGAAAGTCGGCCGCTTCTCCGGCGTCGCGTCCCAGCACTGAAGCATCAGCCGATAGATGCTGTCCGGCAACGGGTGATTTACCGGTTTCGGCATCCTGTAGCCGCCGTTCACCTGCAGGATCACATCACGGCCGTGCATGCCTGTGAAATGTCGGCACAATCAGTTGAGCTACTCACCCTACGTGCTCACCAACCAGAACATATAACAAATCATTGTACTTGCCGCTTTCAAATATTGTTCAGTCTTCAAAAAATTATAACCAGTCACGAATTATATCCTGATAATTTTACTTTATTACCCTTATAATTTTATCAGAGATTTTGTATTTGTTGAAAAAGTCGAGATATTCAAAGTACAAGAACCGATTATTTATCTCATTCCTTTGCTTAAAAAAGTGTATATTTTCAAATCAGATATAAAATACCTTTGATTGAATGTTATTGAATTTTTCTTATTCCAAAGTCGATCGACGCACACGCGTGTATGTATAGATATCTAGCCACTATACCTGGATATGGAACTTGGCCGTAGGTGAAGAGCTCCATGAGGAGAATGCCGTAGGACCAGACGTCGCTCTTGATACTGAAACGGCCATAGACGATAGCTTCGGGTGCGGTCCACTTAACAGGGAATCGGCTGCCCTGTTTGGGACAGTATTCGTCGTCCTCGATAACCCTTGCGAGGCCAAAGTCACATATCTTGGCTTTGTTCTTCTCGCCTATGAGGACGTTCCTCGCGGCAAGATCCCTGTGTATAAGCTGCTTGCTCTCGAGGTGCTCCATCCCCGAGGCGACCTGGGCCGCGATGTATATAAGGTCCTCGAACTGCATGTATTTACCGTCGCCGGCGCGCAGAAAATCGAGGAGGCTGCCGTTGCACATGTACTCTTGAACAATGTAGATTGGCTCCTCCTTGGAGCAGACCGCGTAGAGGGCGACGAGGTGACGATGTCGGAATTGCTTCATTATCGCTGCCTCCTGCCAAGACGACGGATTTAATCCCGGCTCGCATAAGATTGCATTGCGCGTAAATAAATAGCGTAGCGCGTAATTAACCGCTTTCTAGCGTTTATTGCAACGACCACTATCTTCCGTTCGTCAGCCAGCGATTCTTGCACACGCTTGCTCTTCGACTCGAATTATAAATTTCATTTTCCGCAATCATTAAGGACCAACAAGTCATATTATCTTTTACTCATCAACATTGTATAAGTGGGCCCACTTTGTTCTTAGCTAAAAGACTCATTAGTTACAAAAGAAATTTCTATAATAAAAAAACACGTATTACGGATTACGGATTCCAGGTAATTGGTCGATGGTCGTGGTGTTGTTATTGCGCGATAAGTAGAGAATGAGAGGAGAAGCTCATAGATGCATTTGTATTAGGCAGGGCTATTGTTTACCTGTAAGAAGGCTTCGGTGGACATAGTACCAGGTCGCAATGTCTTAACCGCTACCTCAATTTTATTGCGCCACTTGCCGTAATACACTTCGCCAAAGTTCCCATGTCCAAGTTTCCGTATCAGCTGAATCTCGTTGCGATTGATTTCCCACTTGTCACGTAACTCCGGCCCTAGATCCCACATGTCCGGCTGGGGCTTGGGGCACGGCTTCGAAAGCACGTGACAAAGACCCAACGCATTCTCTGTAATGAAGAACGTCTCTTGAGACTTGACTAAATCTCACTTTACCGAAGATACGAACGAGCGTCCGATTATGAGAGTACCGCGACATGGCGAGCGAGTGATTTTTCATCACAAAGTGAAAGGAATTGCAATTGTAATTTCAAGAAATTTGGCGCTGGACATTAATGCAGCTCTTTGCCGCAACAGTGAATAGCTCGACTCAGCTTCCACATGGCAATAGGTAATGATTACGTAATTAAGCGAATCATCGCGTTCGTTTGATTTTTAAGTATGCACGGCCGTTTAGCTGATCTTTTGCTCATTTTTTGTATACTACTCACTGCTATAAGCCATGACGAGGGCTGGTAGGGTAGGGAAGGTCTGGTTGGTTGCGATAAAGAATCCCCCATTGTCCAGAGGTTTGATCTTGTAATGCTTCACGTGATGACCTCGGCCCTCCTCCCAGTCCTTCACCGATAGACTGTAACCCCGGGGGTTATGCTCGCTAGGCCTCACCAGGAACGTGCCCCGCGGGTTCTCGTCCACCAGCAGCAGCTTCCCGGCTTCCTTGCGCGACACATTTTCGAAGAACCAACTGCAACGTTCAACTATTAGATATGACGGTGAATTCGCGCGCTTCGTTGGATCGTAACATTAATTATTATGACTAATTCTTGCAAATAGTTTCTAAAGTTTATTCTTATTCTGTATTGTCTTCGTTCGCACTTACTGCTTTGAGAGACCGAAATACTTACGTTGTATTAGAATGGCATTTCGTTGGCTAAACATCACATACGTAGTCATCGTCAAAAAGTACTTTTGATTTTAGTTAAAACGTTTTAAACTGCTAGGCTTTAATAATTACAAATAAAAAAAATAAAAAAATAAAAAAACTATTATTTTTATTTATCATTATATAGTCTCGTATTGTCTAGATTGCTTTTTATTATAAGTCATGATATTCATAAAATTTCATTTCAAAACAATGGCTAATAAATAAACGCTTACTTTCACTAGCTCGAGACTACATTTTTATTCTATCGTTTTTCATTCTGTCAATATTTATATAAAATTATATGGCAATGTCGCTATACGTCAATATACATTATACATTTTAATTAAGGAGTGCTTATTGAATTCAATAATTGAATGGTGTTTTTTTTTTATTACAAATAGCTTAAAGAGAAGAACTCAAAAAATCTTTATATTTCAATAATTAACAACGTAAAGTTTAAAAGCACCGTGTAAAGTCAATAAAAGCTATATTTATAATCACAAATGCTCCAATTACACTCCTTAAATCGATCGATGATTCATTAGACTTTATGAATCCTTTAGACTCGAGAAACATTTAAAGTCCCAACAAACGACGGAGCAAGTTATTTCCTGACTTTTCACGATTTAATCATAATACGATCGAATTCCGTTGAATTATTCCCACATTGACAAATCGAATTACCATGATTTTTACCATGAAACAGAATTACACACATTGCCACTCATCGCGGATTCACGTACTTTGCGTTGTAGACTCGACATATTCGACAGCTGCCGATACAGAATGCGCTTGAAAATAAGTTTGAACGTCGCGTCCATCAACTCTCGAGGGATCGAACGAGCTAAAAAGTTCCATTATCTCCGGCTCGAGCAAAGATGATTGGTAGCCTAAGTAATCGTTAGACATTGACGCCCTCCGAACATTCGCTATCTAGGAACTTGCCGACGGAGAATTGGCGATTCAAAACCGAATCGTAACAAAGTAATAGACTGAAGAAGTTGAACTTACTCCTCGCTCTCGACGGAACGCTCGACCGCAACGAAGTTCCAAGGTATGAGGCCCTCCTGTAGAGTAGTCAGATGCAATACTTTCCACCAGTCGTGCTCAGAGTCGTCAAGCACCTCCATCCGATCGCCTTTCATAAAACTCACATCCGTGCTCTCACGCGCCGTGTAGTTGTACAGGGCGACGACAATTTTGTTGGCTCGCTGCGAATGAGCTATGGATGCGTGACATCCAGACGGGAGAATAGAAGTTAGTCTCTTGCTCAATTTGTCTGGGTGACGATCAGGAAGAGCATCCGGATCGCCTTCATTTGGCAATCGTGTAGCTTTCCTGAAATCCCAGGGAAGCTACACCACGACCTTTTTTTACATTGTCAAAAACTCTAGAGTGAAATAGTATCAGGTGGCTGACCTCGCGTTTTTATTCATAATTATGCGCTACGAGCTTTAGCTATTAGATCAACAGTCAGAATTCAATTCATTCGAGTGAAATAGAGCCCGGTCTATCGATCGAGATACACCCCCTCCCCCCACATAACAACCTTCACACCATTCTACCCCAATAAGAATAATATTTCACTCTAAAATGTTCGGAGAATGCACTTATGCGCTCTTGCTGCGTTGACTCAAATGTTTCAACTCCAACAATCGACAGACATGAAAATGCAAACGTTCTAAACATATAGTTCATGAGATTCTACTTACTACTAAACAAGTAATAAACATTCCCGTAAATATTCATAAATTAACAGCGAAGCACAAATAATTGAAAGTCTGTTTATTACATACTATGGTTTTGCAAAAATGACATTTCTCTAACTTTAGCATTCCCAAGGAATAAATCTACGTAATATTAAAAATAAATATAAAGTAAAATATAAATAGACTAACGATTAAGCAAAAAAATCTGATTTATGCAAACTAATGTTACATGACTTCCAATAAATTATTCCAGGATATATTCTTGGAAGCTAAGCTAAAAAATAAACAATTTAAAAAGAATGCGTTATTTTAAACCATACGATGTCTTATCAAACCTGTTTCTTGACTTTTTAATTTTTTTTTTTCTTATTATTACTCGACTAACATTTTTTTCTTCTCAAGTATCCATGTATTTCCAATTATTATGTTATTAGTGCAAGCATGCGTTGACCATTTACTTATTTCACAACAATATTTTAATTCTAGTAGAATATTATAAAATTTTACGAATGAATCATAGATGATTATATACATTAGGCATTGTCATTTGCATACAATTACTTTAAAGCTATTATATATATATATATATATATATATATATATATATATATATATATAAATGGAAGCCGATTTTTCAAAGTATTTTTATTTAATATAAATGCAAAACGTCTAAGGTAAATTTATAGTAATGATACAACCAGCGGCGTAATTGGTATATTACTAGTTTTTAAAATGAATGAGCTTGTTTTTATTATTTCAAATTGTAGATCTTAATTTGCCGTTAACTCGAGATTTTAAGCGCTCGTATTTTTATAAATCGTGTAATATAGTATAGTGTGGATAAGTAACTTTAAATAATGTTTCGTTTATAAATGTAGATAAGGGATTAACTGAAAAATAAAAATATGTATAATTATGTAGTATACGACTCTGGTGCTTCATTGTCATTATTGAAAACCGTACGAAATGCTTAATAAGCTTAATAATCCAGAATTGAATCGAACGTAAAAAGGTGAATTTTACAATAGAACATAGTTGCCACACGAGTGATGTACCAGGACAACATTTAATTAAAAAGCTGCAAAGAACATAGTTTAATGTAACGAAACAGAAACACGGACGACTAAGTAGATTAGCACAGCTTGCAGTTATATTGGAAAAAAAAAAGAAAAAGAAAAAGAAAATAACAAGGAGTCGCGAGGAGGCAAGTAAAGTCGCATCAGAGTCGTGGCCGGATTTTATGTCGTACGTATTTACGTATTTGTTAGCCGCGCAAACCCATGGCTTATCTCGGGGAAATTCGGACGGCCCGAGTCCACTCGAATAAGCCAGGCCTGTGGGAGTGGCGGTATGCAAAATAAATGTGAAGAGGGAGAGCGAGCAGGAGGAATACACACATGCGGATAAAACGATAGGCGGCGAGCTGGGCTTGCGAGGCTGGGCCTGGGGCATGAGCTGCAGCTGCTTACAAGGCGTGGGCCTGGGCCGTATAATGTCAGCGCGGGCCTGGGCGCCTCTCTGATTCGGATCGGCGGTGTAGCGGTCCAGGGAGCCGCCGTTGCTGTGCTTCGTATTCAGGCTCGCCTCGGCCTTCTTGTAGCCTGCGAGCAGACAAACCGGCGATCGGCGATTTAATCGAGAACCCGCCGCTAAATCCAAAGCGCGAGACGCTCGTCACATCACATTGACCGAATGACTCTGCCCGACATTCGTGCCGATTTTCTCGACTCGGCCGCCCCTTACAAAGATCAAGCATTCGCTGATGCTCCGTGTAAGGGCCTCCGATGGATCACACTCCACGCTTCTCATATCACAATATGACGAAGGATTGTTTATCTCGCGAGAAACGCGAAATTGAGATTGTCAATTAACACTACGGAATTTATATGTTTTTATGCATTTTATGAATTTTATGGTTTTTTTCTGATAATAGGTGTTATAATTTTTCAACATTATCCGCGCTGCATGTCACATGTGTCTTTAAATTACTATTTGCTTAACCTGCACGTTGAACTCGTCTAATGGCTATCAGAACAACATTCGATTGGCAGTTATTCGTTTTTTGCTTAATAAGTCCGGAAAGAGGGAAATAATTGATTATTCAATTCTCAAAAATATCTTTCGGCTATTTTTTTTATCAATTATAAAATATTACAGCGTGATTTATATAGTAAGGGCACCTTCTGCCATTTCCGTAAAATAAGAAAGTTGTCCATTTTCAAGGTTATCGGAATGAAATATTACATTTACATATTATTAAAGTCATTTTCTTAAAAAGATAAAATTCTTAAGCTTATTATACATTTTTAATGAAAGTTAGCGTAAGTTTGATTTTTTTTACGGCATTGTGAAAATAACGATCTTATAATTGATTAGACGTATAAAGGGTTAAATATAAACTACGATAGTATACTTTTTTTTTAATGATATTTGTACCAATAATATACTTGAATTCTAGTTCTTTATAACAGCAAAATAAATAAGATCTCAAAAAAAATTTTTCGTGACTCAAAACAAAATAATATATATTTAAAAATAACCATTTAAAAAATATATATTATTCACTTTAAATGATATAAAAATAAAAAAATACGTTCGTTTAAATACAATAAAAACTGACATTATTAATATTTCTCTATTAGATAGAGGGAAAAGCAATCAATCAGTCATCCAATGCAAAATGTCGCGGTTCGTTTCGCACCTTCTCGTTTGAACTATAGTGAAAGTATGAGGGCAAAAATGAAAGATGAAAATATAAAGAGAAAGCTTAAAATAAATAAACTTCTGTAGTTGTTATGTAAAGGAATGTAATTTAAAAATTGTCAAAAGCATTAATTACTTGTGAGAAATTTTAAGTTGAGTAAATACATAAATTAATCTCTAATCTCGAATTATCGTCAAATGTTTATCAACCATTTTCGTGTATTGTATTGTCGATTCCCAATATATATGCTTGGTAAGTTGTACTTTAAAAGGTTATTTCAATTATGAAAAATTCAAAACAGTCGTTTGAATGATAAAACATACAAAATTCATATAAAGACTATAATACTTTTTTAAAAAGTTTTAAAGATATTCTTGGATGCTCCAAGCATGCAAAAATTATTTCAACTGAACTTAAATAATAAGTTAAATAAAAATATTTAACAAGATTCTGTATGAAAAACACTGTGAATCAAAGTAACGATTTTATTAAATAATTAAAATAGTTAATTAAAGTTAACCAAAAAATAAGTTTTACCATGCTTCAATTAAATTCTTAAATTAATTGTACGAAATAAATTATTAGATTAAAAAAGAATAATTTACTGTTCAATAGAATAAATATATTTCGAGTAAATACAGAGTAAACAAATAAGACATGAAGTTATTAGCCTTATATAAATCTGTGTTACATAAAGCTAATAATAAAGTGTAATTTTTATAATGACTATATACTTGATTGATTATAAAAGGGAAAACGATAGTGAAATACCGTTAAGATTTTCAACTAATATTCCATTAATGGTTATAACAGTTACGAAACGTATTCAACATATAGCAATGAAACATTTAAAAAATAGTCGAGGTTTAAAATCATTATAATGTTTTATATAAAAATTAGAAATGTTCGACCATATTTGAAATAAAAAATATTGACATAAATAAAAGATAAAAGTCTACCTTGTAAAAATATAAATTGCCTGAAGCTGTAATAGCTAATGTAAATAAAGTAACCGTGATGACTTTATAGGGAAAGAAAATAAAAGTATTATTATTTATGCTCGTTTCGCTTCTTCGTAATATAAAATATCCTTAACGATTGCATTAACGAGTTGCTGTTTAACAATGATGTTTCCACCACTCCTTATTCGGACCTTTTAGATCTTATATTGTGTTAAACATTGAAGAAACAATTTATCGATGAAAGTCATTAAATAAATTATTGTATTTCCATTTTTCTTAGGCGCAGCAGTTTAAAAAATGATAAAAGGAAGTGAAACAACAAATTAAAATGGGAATTAAATGGATCTATAATATCATTAAATTACGTTGATATTCCTTAGGAGCATTAAACGATGCAAGACGTAAGCAATAATACTAGAATACATCTTTCTATTTTAGACTCGTTAAAACAATCGTAAAAAATGATTAATTTAAAAATACAAGACGTACGAACGCGTGAACAATAGAAACATTTAACACTCGATCGGCGAATGATTCTTTTTTTCAAAGAAGCCGGAACGAAATGGGCACGACGGACTCTCGCTAGAGTTGTGAATTAGGATTTATAAGTTGCTGGGCAACTAAACGAAGAGAAGAAAATTAGACTCGAAAGGTATTTAACTGTAAAGTATATAGAGCTTTGTAGCAGGAAAAAGCAACTATTATTGTACAAATAAGATAGTGCAAAACTGCTCGATAACATCAACATAACTATAATATATATGCTTCCAAATTTACGATAAGCTCTTTAATCAATAATGCAATCTTAAATTGAAGTGGAGAGGGATGCTTAATTGGTTAAAACGAGTAGTAATAAAAAAATTATTATGGATATTGTGCGTAGCAAACGCACCGATCATACGATTAAATTTTGCAAGTTAAAAATTAGAACCACTGAATTATCACAGGATGAAGCCACGTTACGTTAGTTTTCGTTTTCCGTCTCTATCGTCAAACTGATTTGCCATAACTTCAGCTTACTCTTTAACATTAAATTCTACTCCACGCATTTAGGGATTTCGAATAAACGACATTGATAAAAGAGAGGCGCGCGGCATCTCCATAGTCGGTATACGGTTTTATTAACGCGAAGATAGAAAAAAAGCTTTGGGAAAATATCGCGAGGAGGTTCACGAGCGCGGCATAACTGTATTTAAAGAGAAGTTGCCGTAGAAGCGATTACGGTGCTCTACCGATCGTTACAAAGGAATACTTATAGAGAGAGAGAGAGAGAGAGAGAGAGAGAGAGAAAGAGAGAATGGAGAGGACGGGAACGGGCTAGAGGAAAGATTGGCGGGAGAGAGCTGAGCGGCAGTCGGAGTAAAGGTCGGCAACTATGATAAGCGATTGCCGTACACGAACGCACACGATTATATGCCGAGAGAGTAAGCGAGCGTCTCGTAGGAAGTCGAAGAACAAAGGGGGTCATCGTCGTTTTCTTACCGATAGGCTGCGGCTCTTGCCGCTTACTGCAGCACTTGCCCATCCTGACTGCCGATGCTTCTTGGCTCCTGGCCGAGGATCACCGGGGTCTGCTTTTCCTAGATGGTCCTCAAGCTCATTGCCGGACTCCGTCCTGCGATTGCGTGTCCGTCAGGCTTACTTGCCGTGGCACCTGAAAGCCGGCCAGAGGTTATTGTCCAAGTAGCTGTCTACAGACCCTTCCAACCCTACTTCCTGCTGGCAACCTCTATATCTTCCTTCTAGGCATTCAAGATCGGCAAGCGGCTTAGCGGTCACGCGTCGCATTCAATACAATATGCGATCGTGGGCTCGGCCGCTCCGTTCGACCATTCAATGGGGTATATCGAACGCAAAATATACAGACACAGATAATCTTCCGCGTAAAACGGACGTTTTGTATTTAGACTATGGAGTGTATTTAGTTCGGTTTGTCATCTCAAGCGTAATTGCGTTTCTTTGCGCGACACAATATTGTTGACACAGTATTATTAAGATATAAGCTTATATTTTTGGAAAATATGGTCTTTAACGACAAAAAAGTTTAATTGCATTACCAAGAATACATTTAGTCAACGGATTACTTTTAATTAATTTAAAAACTTTCACTTTAAAAAGATTTCACGAATTTATTTAACAAATAATCAAAAAATCTATCGATAAAGTATCGAGCTTTTAATAATTCATACATTGATTATTAAACATATTAAACGTGATTTGATAGTTCTGTACAAATTATCTTCCTATTTCGTTGAGAATCAATTATACTTTTATTAATAGAAACTAACTACTTATTAACAAAATTTATATATTTTATTGCGAACTTGGGGAATATATTTTATCGAAAGATTAAATTAATATAGACAATAAATAAATAAATAAATATATATATATATATATATATATATATATAATGGCTTGTGTATTGTTATGTAATTTACTTTAATGAATTCAAATGAATTAAATGTCATAAAGCCATTCATTGTATTATAAGTATAAAAATTGTCACGAAAAGTTTTAACGGTCATAAAATTAAATCAAACTTTATCCTTTTTATCACTGAGGAATACTTGAACTTTCAATTCAACTATACTTATGCCCTAATAATAATAACGAAATTGATTGAAGATATTTTATTATTTTTTATTCACTTTTTATCTGGTACTATCAGATATAAATGATAAACTTATACTTCTATACTATATTCTTAATTTACTATATTATTGTATTATAATTGACTATAAATATTCAATATTTTATTAAATGTAGTTGAGATGCAAAAATTCAAAAAATGTATGGAAGATTTTAAACAAACAAATTTTTAAATTTAAACAAATTTATAAACTATTTGTATTTCATTATACGAATTCTAAGCAAAACATCTGACATTTGAAATTTTATGTTGTTTATCTTCTATTTAATTACTAATATGTAATGTTATATTAATTTTTATTTAGTTAATAGACTAAACTATAATTTCAGATAGTATTTTTCACATTGGGATACACCAATCAATACATAATTGAAAAATTTATGGACTATGGTCACCCTACAAAACTTCTACGATTAAGCGAATTATAAAGTCTACTAAAGATGAAATTAAATTGTTGATTATTGGCACTGAATATTTAACATTGTCATGCAAAGTTACTAAAATGATAGAAAGTACCTTTAACATCAAACACTTCTGTCAAGGTGATGAAATATAATTAATTCTTGCAAAAATTATCATATATTCGTTCGATGAGCAACATACAATAAATTTGCATTCGTAGTGATAAAGGCTATAAACGTTTCCCGTATACAGTATCTGATAAATTTTTACGAAAAATGTATAATGTTAAGCATAATAACCATTCAAAATTTACTTCGCTTCAACTTCAAAACGTAATGTCAGACTGTTTTACATCACTTCTGTAGTGTCATACTAAAATATAAAAAAAAGATCCACCTTTCCATAGAATAAAAACTTGACAATAAAGCATATAAATTTCTCCGATTAATTTATAGATATGCAAATTTAAGAGCACCTAGCATGTGCATATTATGATTCAGATGCTATAGTATAATGAAACTTTGATTGTAGCATATTGTGTCGCGTAAGAGACAAAAAAGAAAATATTATATGCAATATAACGAAAATAACGATAAATATAATCAATGCATAACAAAAAAAAGCACATATATAATGAAATAATTGTAATATAATCAACGTTAAATTGGACAAATATTAGTTTAAAATTAAAATTTTAATTTACAATAAAAATTGAGACTATGCTCTTTACGATCATCTTTTAATTCTTATCTTTGTCATTACTTAGAGTTCGCGATTCTCGGAATTCTGAAAATAAAGAAATATTACTTTAAATGAAAATTCTAGTATAAACTATATATACTGATTTTTTTATAATATAAACTACGATTATGTACGTATTACTGAATATTATACTGGATTCTAGAAAATGTTGTTTATTTTTGTATATAGGCGCATCAGTTTCTCGTTCAATAAGAACGCTTGTGGCGTAAATAAATTACCGAAGATACCGAAAATAAATACACGAAGCATGAGTGAAATAATCATTTCAACTTCAAAAAATTACTGTTGAATTGTTTAAACGAAAATTGTTATGAAAGATATTTCATGAGAAAATAAAAAACATTAACATATCTTGCCAATATAGGTCTATCTTCATTCGAAAATAATTACATAAATTTTTAAATCATTTGATTGTGACATTTTTGAGATTAAAAAAAATTTTTTTAATTATATTGTTAAATAATTCAATTAATAGTATAATTTAGAATAAAAAAATTTATAATAAAAAATTGATACTTGATACAAATTCAAAAACTATATAATGTCATAATGTAAACCAGTTTTTTAAAAAATTCGAGATAATTTTTACAATGAATTATTCAACTGTCTTGTTGATAATTGTGGAATCATTCATCACTTTAAATTTGGTGGCGCACACCAGCTGACTTCTATATGCAAATACTATATTTCAAATCGACAAGGCAGTCAATAATAGGTATAAATCTTAGGTATCGTAGTAGAAACATGCTGCGGAAATGTCCCAGGAACAATTAGGAAGTTCTGTAAGTTCCAAGTGCCACCAGTCGTCATACAGTAGCTAAAACTTATCAAAATCTTGCCATTTCCAGAGTAAACCGACGCAATCTATCACGAGTTAAACAAAAGCAACTGCAGTGGCCTCGCTGCTCTATCCCATGTGTTTCTCTAGCAAACACTAACATCTGCTTATCACGAGTAGGAAAAAGAGGTTTTACCTGTCAATGGGCCCCTCTTAACAAAAGTACCCAATGGCCACACATTAGTGAAGCATCGAATTTGACAAAACCGTGCAGTTAAAACCGGGGGAGCTGTAATAACGCATCTGGTAACCAGACTCTCGTCCCCAATCCCAATTGCGCCCCAGAACGAGGATTCACATGCACGCGCGCGCACACAGGCGCACGCACATACCTACGTTCATTGCTTCTTTCTTGTAAATTCTTCTGCGCCGGCTTTTTCCGTTAGCACCCCTGTTAGATCGTACGCCGACAAAAGGAAAAGCCTGTCACGAATATCCTTGAAGATTTCGACTGCAGAACTCAATAGTTGTCACCTCCTCCCCCATTTCCTTCTATTTTACCTCCATTCGCAAAAAACGTCTTTAATAAACTGAATTATGAATATTGGTATTAAGAAGGAAACTAAACCAAGTGGATTCGTGTTTTTCCTATTAATAATGGTCCCAAGCCAACCTGTTGAAACTTGTTTAAATGCCGAGGATCCCACGAATAGGGACTAAACGAAATCTGTCGAGCCCAAATTTTACTACGCTATGGTTAACTGGTACGCTAAAATCAATAACACGAAAGTTTTTCCCTATTATTACACTGAGTATCATCATCACTGAAAAATAACACAATTTTAATTACTTAATACCGAATGTCGTTTACGATATACAAATTTAAAGCCCCGCCAATTGCGACTATTTACGCTCTCCTTGTTTATATATGTAATTTTTTCCTTAAAAAATAAGAGAAATACATTACAAGCTTTCCCCCGCGTTCGAAAAAAAAATGAAAAAAGACATCCATTCTAAAAAGATTGAATCCAATGATACGACTCTCGGTCAACGTCCGACTAAAGTATCCCGAGAACTTAGGAACAGACATTTAAGTTTCAAGATCGACAGTTATGATGCTTTTGAAAATGCAGAGAAAATTTTTTACGATGTATTATTATTTAGGTTCACTTTCGTTACCAAATCATGCTATTCACTACGATAGCCCCAAACATATCTGACATTGCATTAAGCGCTTGATTTTGGTCACTGAAATACGACACTTCATTAAACTAATCATTTATTTAGACATATGAATTCCATTTAAAAAGTTGGATATTTCATAACAAATATGTAGTCAACGAAATTCTTATTAAAACTCTGTTAAATAATTACTATGCAATATGAAATTAAGTATTAAATAACCACAAAAACATGATAACTTTTGGCTTGCGTGTTTTATAACATTAATGAACAAGCAACAATTTCCAGTCAGGAATCACAAATTTATAAACATCAATACGTAACTAACAATTTTCAAAGAAAAATGTAGCATTAGGTATTATGCACCAAGCCTCGTGTAAATTTCGCGAACTATCGTCGTCCTTCTCAAAAATGATTCGACAAAAGTGCTTCGCCAGAGTTAAAAGCAGTCAGGCTTTCGTGTAGGAAAAGAGGTACCAAAAACAAAGGAAGCGACTGCCGGCTTTTCTATCTCGAAATCAAAATTCAAGTAAAGTCTGCGCCTCACACGTACACCTATATGAAAGACTTGCTCAGACTTCCTCCTTGACAGCCGTCACTACGACCAAAGGAAGGCAGAATAGAGCCGGGAGAAGCCCAGTATTTTATTTCTAGAGTATCGAGGGCGAGCAGCCAAACTTTCCAAGTGACGCGCCGACACTCCAGAAATTTCATGACCCGTGAATAAAAGAAGACCGCCAAGTAAATAAAGGTTTACCCGTTCCAAAGCTTGAAACGCCGAAGGCCTATGAATTTTATTATTCAATCTACAACGAAAATTTACTTCTCCAAGCGCTCTTCCAAAACCATCATTGTAATAATGCATGCACATTTG